GCTTGGAGAACATTTCTGGAGGTGGGTGAGGGTCCAGCTTCCTGTAAAGAGTTCACCTAATCCTCCAAATAAGAGAAGCATTTAACAAGGATGATTTGTGCATCTGCTCCGCTCAAAGATACTACAGCCTGTTTCTGTTTCCAAACAAACGCAGAGGACACCTAATAGTCTCTTTCTGAAAAATTCCTGCAAGTCTCAAGGCACGCACTCTCCTCTGAACTAAGGTCACTGCCTTCGTAAGCGGCAAGGAATTTTTGTGAAATCTGCAACCTGCAGGACAGAAGTAAAAAACAAAACTGTTGCGGAAAGACTAAAATTATCTACCTACCTACCTACCTTATCTATCCTATCTATCTATCTATCTATCTATCTATCTATCTATCTATCTATCTATCTATCTATCTATCTATCTATCTACAGAATATCTATTATTTGTATGTCTGCTATGTATATATGTATCTATGTATCATCTATCTGTCTATATCTATCTATCTATCTATCTATCTATCTTCTATCTATCTGTCTGTCTGTCTATCTATCTATCTATCTATCTATCTATCTATCTATCTATCTATCTATCTAGTATATCTATTTGTCTGTCTGCTATGTATATATGTATCTATCTAGGTATCATCTATCTGTCTATATCTATCACCTATCTATCTATCTATCTAGTATATCTATTTGTCTGTCTGCTATGTATATATGTATCTATCTAGGTATCTATCTATCTGTCTATATCTATCATCTATCTATCTATCTATCTATCTATCTATCTATCTATCTATCTATCTATCTCTACAGTATATCTATATCTTTCTCTGTCTGCTATGTATATATCATCTATCTATCTGCTATGTATGTATGTATGTATCTCTATATATTTACAGTATCTATCCTATCTATCTATCTATCTATCTATCTATCTATCTATCTATCTATCTATCTATCTATCTATCTATCTATCTATCTATCTGATTTTTATCCTGGCTTTATTTATAAGTAACTCAAGGCAACGAACACACCTAATATTCCCTCCTCTCCTATTTTCTTCACAACAACAACCCTGTGAGGTAAGTTTGGCTCAGAGAGAGTGACTGGTCCAAAGATACCCAGACGGCTTTCATGCCTAAGGCAGGACTAGAACTCACAGTCTACTGGTGATTGGCTCAAAATCATCCAGCCAGCTTTCATGCCTAAAGTGGGAGTAGAACTCACTATCTTCTGGTTTCTAAGCCAGCGTTTTAATCATTACACCAAACTGGCTTATCTTAGTCATAAATTATACTGCTTCTTATAATTATGCCTTCATGTCCATCCATCCATTCACGTATACAAAGTCATATCTCAGGGGCTGCCCCAAAGAAGAGGGAGTCAAGCTATTTTCCAAAGCGCCTGAGGGCAGGACAAGAAGCAACAGATGGAAACTAACGAAAGAGAGAAGCAACCTAGAACTAAGGAGAAACTTCCTGACAGTTAGAACAATTAACCAGTGGAACAACCTGCCTCCATAAGCTGTGAATGCTCCAACACTGGAGGTTTTTAAGAAGAGACTAGACAGCCATTTGTCTGAAATGGCTGCCTGAGCAGAGGGTTGGACCAGATGACCTCTAAGGTCCCTTCCAACTCTATTATTCTATTCTATACTCTATACATTATTATTATTATTATTATTATTATTATTATTATTATTATTATTATTATCCTCAGCTTGTGGCAACTTTTCCTTTCAAGTCATCTACTGCATCACAACTCAAACTCTATTTGTGGTAGAACTAAATAGGGGAATGCACTCCAAAGTTGAGCAAGTGTAAATGCCAGTGAGAACAGATCTATTTTCTCTGAAGAGGAAAAGATGGGAAACTAGCAAGATAATGATAAATTACCTAGGAATAGTGGAGGATAAGAACTTTATTTTTATTGCACCTCAGAAGAAAATTGTAGAACAGTTGAACCTAGGTAGCGGATGCGTATAAAATATATAAAATCTGCTGAAGATGTTACCCAGTCTGGTAACGAAACATTCGGAAACCAACCCAAAAGCTCGGAGAACAAACTTTTTCACTTTCATATATCGCTACGTTTAGGAAGGGGAAAAGGGAAATTATTGAAGGAACATAAACTCACGAAGAAGAAAAAAACCAAGAAGGAAAAAACTGCCTTTCCAGCAATTTAAATTTAGATGACTAGTGTTGTTTTTTTTTTGCTTAATAAGGCCTCACCAGAATATATATTAACTCAGATCCTAGTTACTGTCTTACTATGCTGTATTTCTCAATTCAGTACAGCACATGGGAGACAGATCCCATTAGAGCAGACATGTCAAACACAAGGCCCGGGGGCCGGATGCGACCTGCAAAGTGGTTTCATGTGGCCCGCAAAGCCATCCTGGAAACAGTGAGGGAACGGCCCCCGCTGCCTTGGCCCTGGCCCAGGCCAGCTGGGAGCCAAGGTACAATTTTGTGGTAACCATCTATTCAGTCTTAGCTCCACAAGGCCGTCTGGAAACAGCGAGGAACCAGCCCCTGCCATGCTGGCCCCGCCCCCTGGATGCATGCTGGGGAGGTGTCACCCTTTGTGAGGAATGAAGAAATGAACCATGCCTTGGCACTTGCCCTGGTCCCACCCCCTTCTGCCAGAGACCCTCAGATCTGTCCCACTCCTGCCCAGGCCCCCACAGGCACCCTTGACGCAAACGATGTAGAGCTGGCCACGCCCACCCAGTAAGCCACACCTACTCTATCCATGCCTACCCAGTAGGCCGCACCCACCATGGCCACACCCACCCAGCCCCCTGAGGGCAATCGCAATGCTGATGTGGCCCTCAATGAAATTGAGTTTGACACCCCTGCATTAGAGTCACACAGCCATTAAAAAGAGCAAAAAAACTCAGTTTCTTTATAGGCTATGAACTGACAATTAAAACCAGTAATTTAATCCACAATGAAGTCATTATTTAATTCTGTTTTTTTCCCCCTTGGTTCTCTGCATCGGCAGGATTGGCTGGGAGTTATGGGAGTTGAAGCTGAGATATGCTGAACCTGGGCAAGAATATTTGACATGGTACTGGTAGCCCTTGACCTATGACCATAACGGAGCCCAAAATTTCTGTTACTAAGCGAGACAGTGAATGTTGCCCCATTTTACGACCTCGCCTGCCACAGTTATTAAGTGAATCACTGCAGTTGTTCAGTTAGTAACACGGTTGTGAAGTAAATCTGGCTTCCCCATTGACTTTGCTCATAAGAAGGTCACAAAAGGGGATCACCTGACCCCGGGATCACTGCGACCGTCGTAAATATGAGTCGGTTGCCAAGAGTCTGAATTTTGAACACGTGGTCGTAAGTCACTTTTTTCATTGCCATTGTAACTTAGAACGGTCGCTAAATGAACTGTTGGAAGTTGAGGACTACCTATATAAAATATCAGATGGAAGGAGATGAACGTCCCATATTACTGTGTGTATCCCCGTGTTCCATAGAGCCAAATTGAGAATTATTTTAAAACTGATGCTTATTCATTTCACAGGATCCAAAAGACAGCTACCTCTACCCAAAGTTGAAATCAGAGTCAAAACTGGATTGAATTAAATTACACTGCATTCAAAATTCTTAGCAGAATTTGGCTGAAATTAGAATAAACGGAAGAGATAGAGAGACTGGTTGATGATTTAGATCAGGGATCTTCAAACATGGCCACTTGAAGACGTGTGGACTTCAACTCCCAGAATTCCTCAGCCAGCCCTAGCTGGCTGAGGAATTCTGGGAGTTGAAGTCCACACGTCTTAAAGTGGCCAAGTTTGAAGACTCCTGATTTAAATCAACACACGTAAAATTATAAATAGAAATGTACTTCTCCAATAAAAACAAATAAATAGAAATAATTAAAAGTGCATCTAAACACAATGTATAAATATAAACAATCAATTGAGTGAACAGCTGCAGTTAAAAGAGATGTTCAACGGAGCTCGATGAGAAATACCTTAAAGATACTTAAAGCAAGGTTGCAATGGGACAGTATTGAGTGATGTTCAGAGAAAGAAAGTCAGATTGATCCGACAGTAACAATTGGAGATAAAAGAAGCCAGGGCAAGAATTAACAGAAAAAGCAGGTGACATGTCAACCCAACGAAAGGACGGGGGGTTCAGGATATTTAAGAAAAATTAATCAGTGAAAAGTAACTCTACAAATAATAGCAACGGCACTTCGACTTATATTGCTTCAGAGTGCTTTACAGCCCTCGCTAAGCAGTTTATAGAAATCAGCATATTGCCCACAACAATCTGGGTCCTCATTTACTGACCTCAAGAAGGATGGAAGGCTGAGTCAGCTTTGAGCCGGTCAGCCATCGAACTGCTGGCAATCGGCAGAATTAGCCTGCAATACTGTAGGCTAATGCAATACTGCAAAACTGCATTCTAACCACTGCACCACCGTGGCTGCATAAATAAGCTATACACATATCCATTTAAGCCAGTGGTTCTCAACCTGTGGGTCGGGACCCCATTTGGGGTCGAACGACCATTTCACGGGGGTCGCCAAACAACGCAGTCCGCCATCTTTTTTCCCCTTTTCCTTAGCTGTGCTACTCCCTTTTATTCCATTGGCTTTTGAAAGCCAATAGAATAGACTCTCTTGAATAGAGTCCACTTCTATTGGCTTTCAAAAGCCAATAGGAATTGTCCAGGCTGTCTCTGCCCTGCTGAGCCCGCCAAAAGTCCCATTCTGCAAACGGTGCTGCACCAGTTCAGTAGTCCTCGACTTACGACCGGTTGAGTAGTCCTCAACTTACGACCGGTTGGGGGTCGCAGCATTAAAAAGGTTGAGAACCACTGATTTAAGCCAAAACCAAATGAAGTACTGTGATGGCTTCTTCAGATGACAACAAGCAACAGTTCAGGTCTCTTTCCCTCCTCGTCCTCACATCCTTCACTCTTCTGCATCATAGACACTCTTGGTACCCCCTTAAGGACGCCGATGGCCAGAAATATGAGGCTTACCTGCTCCTTGTCAGGTTTGTCAGAGATGTCGTTCAGACTAGAGGACGTCAAGTTTCTGGGTGTCAAGGCTGGACTACCTGAAAGTACAAGTTCCAAACCAATTAACAAAATGCTTGTAATATGTTTTAGACACAGAGACTCAAGGCTATAGCAATGCTCGTTTAAGATAACCTGATAATTACGCAGACCTTGTTTGGAAACCAAGAACTAAAGAAGACCTTGAGTCAAGTCTATGGAGATTCTCAGTCGTCCAGGTCATGGTTATCCCAATGGTGCTTTTTCAAGAGGCAATTGGACTTTCTTGTTTTTCTTTGAAGATGTTTCGCTTCTCATCCAAGAAGCTTCTTCAGCTCTGACTGGATGGTGGGGGATGGGGGGATTTATACTCCTTGCAGACAGCTGGTCATTTGCATTCTTTTAGACTAGAGAGTTGTTGAGGCCACTTGGAGGCTTATCTGTGTCCTCGGGGGTCACCTGAATTGTACCAATGGGTGTGGAGCCTTCTTGGAACGGCTGAAAATCCTTCCGTTCCCTACCATCCAGTCAGAGCTGAAGAAGCTTCTTGGATGAGAAGCGAAATGTCTTCAAAGAAAAACAAGAAAGTCCAGTTATCTCTTGAAAAAGCACCTTTGGGACATCTTTAGTCAAGCTTGACTGTTGGGGACTACATGAAAATGACCATGACTTTTCTCCAGATTTGTTCCAGGATTTTGTTTTAAAATTTCCCAGCTCTGGTCTTCCAGAAAAAGACTAACTAGGCCTAGCTTAACTTCAAGTCCAGACATCTTGGCACTTGCTAACCACTTAATGTAAGACAACTACACCTAGGTAGCTTTAACCTTAGCATAATTTCTAATCAAATGGAAGATACAAGATGACACTATCTCAAACAGCAGTTATTAAAATTGTGCAGAAACAATAAGGATGCTTAGGACACATTAAAGACCGCAACTTTATTATTTATCATTTAAGATGCCCCCATACTCATTTTTGCTTAAAAAGTCTCCTCTTGTTGTCACTAAAGTAACTGCCAAGTAAGCAGACATGGATCACCATCACTCCTTTATGGTATGAAGGCTATAAAAGGGCTTTGTTGGAAGAGGGCTACACCCTTCCTTTCTAAGTCATAGACTTCCTAAAAACATCCCTGTAAATACTGTGTAAAATCAAGACTTGGATCAAATGGATTATTTGAAGATTCTTATATGCATGGACAGTTTGTTTTTTTGAGTAGCTCTATTTATCCTGGGTTAGTTGGCCAGGGAAAACATCCCAAGTGTAGGAGAAGGAATGGCAGAACCTGCCCCCCCCCAGGGGTGGAGTTAAACAAAAGGATAAATAAAGGAAAATATTTATAGCTCCAGGTTGAAAGGAACGGTCCTTGATATTCTCTGAGCTTGGTTGTTTTCTTGTAGACATTTCATTACCCAAACTAGCTAACGTCACCAGTGTATCAGACTAGCATTGGTGATGTTACCTAGTTTGGATAATGAAATGTCTGCAAGAAATATTATTAGTAGCAGTATTAGTATTCGTACCGCTTTGTAAAACCCTAGTGAGACCACACCTGGAATATTGCAACCAATTTGGATCACCATACTACAAAAAAGTTGTTGAGACCTTGGAAAAAATTCAGAGAAGAGCAACTAAAATGATCAAGGGTCTGGAGACTAAAACATAGGAAGAACGGCTGTAGGACTTGGGTTTGGCTAGTCTAAAGAAAAGAAGAAATAGGGGTGACATGACAGCAGTATTCCAGTGTTTGAGAGGCTACCACAAAGAAAAGGAGGTCAAATTATTCTCCAAAGCACCAGAGGGCAGGATGAGAAACAATGGTTGGAAACTGACCAAAGAGAGAAGCAACCTGGAATTAAGGATAAACTTCCTAACAGTGAGGACAATTAACCAGTGGAACAGCTCCAGAAATCGTGGGTGCTCCATCACTGGAGATTTTTAAAAAGAGACTGGACAATCACCTGTCTGAGATGGTATAGGTTCTCCTGCTTGAGTGGGGGGCTGGACTAGAAGACCTCCAAGGTCCCTTCCAGCTCTATACTATTCTCAGCCCCAAGGACTCTTCAAAGATGGATCAGTCTAGAACAGTGATGGCAAACCTTTTAGAGACCAAGTACCCAAATTGTAACCCAAAATCCACTTATTTATCACTGGGTGCCAGGTGGGCATAGCCGCGGTGGTCATGGCAGACTAGGTAGGTGGGGTCAGGGCGGTGGGGGCCAGTCCCTCACCATCTCCGGGGCACCACACGTATGCCCACAGAGAGGGCTCGAAGTGCCGCCTCTGGCACGCGTGCCATAGGTTCGCCACCACTGGTCTAGAATCCTAAGTAGCACAAGCTGTCTACACTTACGGTACTGGAATTCCATTCAACTCCAACCTTTATCTAACTCTAATAGATGAGAAGAGTCTTCTGCAATAGGCTTACTATTAATATATCAGTTTAACTGGACTTCCCATGTGGACCTGCTCTTTTGCACAGGACACCAAGTTTTACAGAGCACGTAAAGAATAACTGAATGATATCGTGGCATAACAATATTGCACTTTCCTCTCTGCCCTTCCAAATTTTGGACCTACAGGATTTGTAGGACTTTTGCCTCCTGAGTATAAAATTTTACTTAACTGATACAAGGAACCTATGAGGTCTTATTATTACAGTAACTTTCAAAATAGCTAAACACATAATAAGGAGGAAGGAGAACAAAAATAATCTAAAAAGGCAGAAAGACTCAGTAAAAAAATATAGTGCAATACTGAGCATGTATAACAAAAAGTAAATATGCCCAACAGGATAGGGGCATGTATTAAAAGCAGATAGGAATGGAATAATGTACAATAATTGCCACTATTCTAGGCAAAGAGAAATTTATTTTCTTTCAGTAGTCCTAGATTCATAATGTTTGATGGAATTCCATGCAATATTGTGTGTATATATGTATGTCTCTCTCTCTCTGTATGTGTGTGTGTATAAGTATGTATATATGTATGTAGATTAGATAGATAGATAGATAGATAGATAGATAGATAGATAGATGATTGATAGCTAGATAGACACGTTAGATAGATACGTTAGGTAGATTTTGGATCTAATTCTCACTAACAGAGATGAAATGATAGACGGTGTTGGAGCCATAGGAACCCTGGGAGGAAGTGATCATGCAATATTAGAATTCAACATTATAGAAGCACAACCAATAGAACACAGTCAAACTAGAGTCTTGGACTTCAAGAGAGCTAATTTCAATAAACTTAGAGAGGGCTTGGGAAGGATTCCATGGATGAGAATCCTCAAGGGGAAAACAACTCAAGAAGCTTGGGAAATTTTGAAAAATGAGATAATAAAAGCACAGTCTAGCACAATACCAACAAAGAGGAAAAATAACAGCTCTCAAAAGAAACCAGCATGGCTGCATAAAGAACTCTCTGACAATTGAAAGATAAAAAGGACAAGTATAGAAAGTGGAAAGAGGGGAACATAACTAAGTCAGAATATCAGCAAATAGCCCGAGCCTGCAAAGATGAAGTGAAGAAAGCCAAGGCTCAAAACGAACTGAGGCTTGCGACCAAAGTCAAAAATAACAAAAAAAGCTTCTTTCAACATGTAAAAAACAAGAAAAAAGTGAAGGAAATGATTGGTCCATTAGTGGGTGGAAGTGGCAAGAAGGTGACAAGCAACAGGGAGAAAGCAGAACTATTTAACTCATTTTTTGCATCTGTCTTTACACAAAGGGAAAAAACAGACCAACCTATCAAAAATAGTGCCACAAAAAACAAAACAGAAACACAAGTTAAGATAGGCAAGAAAATCGTTAGTGAGCACCTGTCCAGCCTAGATGAGTTCAAATCGCCAGGACCAGACGGATTACACCCCAGAGTTCTCAAGGAACTGGCAGATGTGATATCGGAGCCACTGAACTATATTTTTCAAAGATCCTGGAACACAGGGGAACTACCAGAGGACTGGAAAAGAGCTGATGTAGTTCCCATCCTCAAAAAAGGAAAAAAAATGGATCCAGGAAATTACAGACCTATCAGCCTGACCTCAATACCTGGGAAGATCCTGGAAAAGATAATCAAACAACGAATCAACGAACACCTAGAGGCAAACAAAGTCATTACTAAAAGCCAACATGGGTTTGTCAAAAATAGATCATGCCAGACAAATCTTATTGCATTCTTTGACCAAGTGACAAAATTAGTGGATCAGAGGAATGCTGTGGACATAATTTACTTGGACTTCAGTAAGGCATTTGATAAAGTAGATCACAACCTACTACTTGACAAGATAGAAAAATGTGGGGTAGACAGAACCACCACCAGATGGATCCGTAGCTGGCTGACCGGCCGTACTCAGCGAGTGGTCCTCAATGGAACTGCATCTATATGGAGGGAAGTGTGTAGTGGGGTGCCCCAGGGCTCTGTTCTGGGCCCAGTACTCTTCAACATCTTCATCAACGATTTGGATGAAGGGATAGATGGGGAACTCATCAAATTTGCAGATGACACCAAGCTGGCAGGAATAGCCAACACTCCAGAAGACAGGCTTCAGATACAGAAGGATCTGGACAGACTTGAACACTGGGCACTAACTAACAAAATGAAATTCAATGGTGAAAAAAGCAAGGTTCTACATTTAGGCAAGAAAAACCAAATGCACAAGTACAGCATAGGTGGCACCATGCTCAATAGTAGTAACTGTGAGAGGGACCTCGGAGTCCTAGTAGACAATCACTTAAATATGAGCCAGCAGTGTGCTGCAGCTGCCAAAAAGGCCAACACAGTGCTAGGCTGCATTAACAGAGGGATAGAATCAAGATCACGTGAAGTATTAATACCACTCTTCAATGCCTTGGTAAGGCCACACTTGGAATACTGCATCCAGTTTTGGTCACCACGATGTAAAAAAGATGTTGAGACTCTAGAAAGAGTACAGAGAAGAGCAACAAAGATGATTAGGGGACTGGAGGCTAAAACATATAAGGAACGGTTGCTAGAATTGGGTATGTCTAGTTTAACGAAGAGAAGGACAAGGGGGGACATGATAGCAGTATTCCAATATCTCAGGGGCTGCCATAAAGAAGAGGGAATTTAGCTATTTTCCAAAGCACCTGAAGGCAGGACAAGAAGCAACGGGTGGAAACTAATCAAGGAGAGAAGCAACCTAGAACTAAGGAGAAACTTCCTGACAGTGAGAACAATTAATCAGTGGAACAGCTTGCCTCCAGAAGCAGTAAATGCTCCAACACTGGAAGTTTTTAAGAAGAGACTGGACAGCCATTTGTCCGAAATAGCGTAGGGTTTCCTGCCCGAGCAGGGGGTTGGACTAGATGACCTCCAAGGTCCCTTCCAACTTTACTACTATTACTATTACTATTACTAGATAGATAGATAGATAGATAGATAGATAGATAGATAGATAGATAGATAGATATATAGATAGACAGACAGATGATAGATGATTGATAGCTAGATAGATGCTAAGATAGATAGATAGATTAGATAGATAGATAGATAGATAGATAGACAGATGATAGATGATTGATAGCTAGATAGATACGTTAGATAGATAGATATGTTAGATAGATAGATATGTTAGAGATAGATAGATAGATAGATAGATAGATAGATAGATAGATAGATAGACAGACAGATGATAGATGATTGATAGCTAGATGCTAAGATAAATAGATAGATATGATAGATATGATAGATAGATATGATAGATAGATAGATAGATAGAGACAGACAGACAGACAGATGATTGATAGCTAGATAGATACGTTAGATAGATAGATAGATAGATAGATAGATAGATAGATAGATAGATAGATAGATGATAGATTGATAGCTAGATAGATACGATAGATAGATAGAGATAGATAGATAGATAGATAGATAGATAGATATGATAGATAGATAGATAGAGAGACAGACAGACAGACAGATGATTGATAGCTAGATAGATACGTTAGATAGATAGATAGATAGATAGATAGATGATAGATTGATAGCTAGATAGATACGATAGATAGATAGATAGATAGATATAGATAGATAGATAGATAGATAGATAGATAGATAGATAGATAGATAGATAGATAGATAGATAGATAGATAGATATACATACATACATATAATTGCATTATATTCTCCAGCAAGGAGATTTAACATTTACGTCCATAGAATTCAATAGTCAAAGCAAAGTTATTAGTGCATATCAGCCCCACCAAGTAGACCAGATCAGGAATCATCTCCACAGATAGGCTATAACTACTTTTATTGAGAGTAACTTATAACCACAGAAGCCTTCAAATCTGATTGTGCTACACCTCCTATCCTTTTTATACTTTCACAAATTAAGGAGTTATCCATCTAAGCCATACACATACTTTCTACTTGCCCTGGATGTAAGATACATTTCCTTCTCGTTGCTTTGATGATGAGAAGGAGTCACCAAACTTGGCCACTTTACGACTGGTGGACTTCAACTCCCAGAATTCCCCCGTGCCTATAGATTTCTCTTCTGAGGTGGTATCACAGGACTGGCTGGCGAGGGAATTCTGGGAGTCGGAGTCCACGCCTCACAAAATCGCCAACGTTGGGAAACACTGACCTAAGCTCAGGGGACCCGCACTTTCAGCTCATATTTGCCTTTGAAATCATATTAAGCATTTGTGAACTGTATAAGCAAGAGAAGCCGGTTTGTTGTTGTTAATTGCGAAGTCGTGTCCGACCCATCGCGACCCCATGGACAATGTTCCTCCAGGCCTTCCTGTCCTCTCCTATCTTCTGGAGTCCGTTTAAGTTCACACCTACTGCTTCTGTGACTCCATCCAGCCATCTCATTCTCTGTCATCCCCTTCTTCTATTGCCCTCAATCTTTCCCAGCATCAGGCCCTTCTCCAGTGAGTCCTTCCTTCTCATTAGGTGGCCAAAGTATTTGAGTTTCAACTTCAGGATCTGGCCTTCTAAAGAGCAGTCGGGGTTGATCTCTTAGAAGCCGGTTACACAGCCTGAAAGCCTCCCGATTGGTTTATGGCAGTGTTTCTCAACCTTGACCATTTTAAGGCATGTGGACTTCAGCTCCCAGAATTCCACAGCCAGCATTGCTGGCTGTGGAATTCTGGGAGTTGAAGTCCACATGCCTTAAAATGGTCAAGGTTGAGAAACACTGGTTTATGGACTTGGAAAATTCCAACCCAACCCAATTCACACATGGCTGGAGAAGTTTACCTAAACATTAGATATAATCCTAAGTAACTAACCAGTCATTCCAAGGACAGATAAACAGAGCTGTCACATGTCTCATATGGGATAAACCACCACCATCACCAGAAAAGCAAATGGTAGCCAAGCAAGGTCGCCGAGTTCAACTCTGCACCATGGAGAGGTGGGACGGGAAACAAGCTTTCTATCCCAATTTTGCACCAAACCTGCACAGAATGGAGCTAGAGAGCAACGTCTTTGAGGAGCGACTTCCCATTTGGCCTCTTTTAGGTGTGTGCTAAACTGCACCGTCACCAGCCCAAGAGAACAGAGCTAACAGGAATTGCATGATGGGGGTTGTAGTCCACATCTGGGAGGAGGAAAGCTTGTGCACACTACTGTACCTCTCCTCTATGGAGATTCTCCGTCATCTCTTGTCCCAAAGGTGCTTTTTCATGAGACAACTGGACTTTCTTGTTAATAATAATAATAATAATAATAATAATAATAATAATAATAATAATAATAATAATAATGTTGGAAGGGACCTTGGAGGTCATCTAGTCCAACCCCCTGCTCAGGCAGGAAACCCTATACCATTTCGGACAAATGGCTGTCCAGTCTCTTCTTAAAAACTTCCAGTGTTGGAGCATTCACAGCTTCTGTTCCACTGGTTAATTGTTCTCACTGTCAGGAAGTTTCTCCTTAGTTCTAGGTTGCTTCTCTCCTTGATTAGTTTCCACCCGTTGCTTCTTGTCCTGCTTTCAGGCGCTTTGGAGAACAGCTTGACTCCCTCTTCTTTGGGGCAGCCCCTGAGATACTGGAAGACTGCTATCATGTCACTGCTCGTCCTTCTCTTCATTAGACTAGACCAGGGTTAGGCAACCTCGGCTCTTTTATGACTCGTGGACTTCAACTCCCAGAATTCCTGAGCCAGCATGGCTCAGCTTGGAAACTCTCCCTTTCCCCTCAGCATGGCTGGCTCAGGAATTCTGGGAGATGAAGTCCATGAATCACAAAAGAGTCAAGGTTGCCTACCCCTGCACTAGGCTGGTCTTTCTTGGCCTTAGCTTCGACTCCCAGAATTCCTGAGCCAGCATGGTCATTGCAAAGGATACAGGAAACTGAAGTCCATGCGTAAAGAATGGTCTAGGCCAGGGGTGGGGAACCTTGGCTCTTTTATGACTCGTGGACTTTTTATGACTCCCAGAATTCCTGAGCCAGCATGGCTCAGCTTGGAAACCTCTCCCTTTCCCCTCAGCATGGCTGGCTCAGGAATTCTGGGAGTTGAAGTCCACGAGTCATAAAAGAGCCAAGGTTGCCTACCCCTGGATTAGACAAACCCAGTTCCAGCAACCGTTCCTTATATGTTTTCTTTGAAGACGTTTCGCTTCTCATCCAAGAAGCTCCTTCCGCTCTGACTCCATTTTCCACCTTCCAGTCAGAGCGGAAGAAGCTTCTTGGATGAGAAGCGAAACGTCTTCGAAGAAAAGCAAAGGAAGTCCAGTTGCCTTGTGAAAAGAAGCACCTTTGGGACAATACTGTACCTCTTCTTCATTCCGCCTTTTAAGACTTGAGCATTTCACAGTCACCCCTTGAGCTGGATGCTCATCTCTGCCTACGCAGTGTGAGGTTTAAACCCCGGAGTTCCTGACAGGAAGAAAACTGGTGGGCAACTCTTCCAGGAAAGGATGGATTTGGGAATTGTCTTCTCTTGGATCCCCGGACTAGCCACCACCCAGTCTGCGGTTTCCCACCGGTCACTTACTTAGCCATCCCACGCTGGGACTGCGCTGCATTCCGATTTCGTCATCCAGCGTGCAGGTTGCTAGGCAGGGCACTGAGCTCTCAAGTGGATAGCGAGCTTTAGTGTTGCAAGCAGAAGGCAGAGCAGCGGTCAAGAGCAGCAGCAGCAGCAGCAGCAGCAAGACGAGAAGGAGACAAGAGGGTTAGGAAGGAGAGAGAAAAAAGAGCCACCTTCCCCAAAGTGGGAACGTCCAGAGGGGCCGGCACTGCAAAATTCCAGAACTTTCTAGAGGGTCTCAGGTTGGGGGGGGGTGGCTGAAGTAAAGCCAAGTCGAGCCACAGAATCAAGACAGGAAAGTTTCCTCGGGTGAAGAGGTCAGAGAGGGCAACGTGCCAACTGTCCAGTTCATGAGAAATCCATTCATTTGCCAAGGCCTTTGAAGTGAATAGCTAGAAAATGCACAGCGTGCATTTCGGGCGCCTGGTCATTTGCAGCTTTGAGAGCTATTTGGGTGGAAACTAATCAAGGAGAGAAGCAACCTAGAACTAAGGAGAAACTTCCTGACAGTGAGAACAATTAATCAGTGGAACAGCTTGCCTCCAGAAGCAGTAAATGCTCCAACACTGGAAGTTTTTAAGAAGAGACTGGACAGCCAATTGTCCGAAATGGTGTAGGGTTTCCTGCCCGAGCAGGGGGTTGGACTAGATGACCTCCAAGGTCCCTTCCAACTTTACTATTATTATTATTATTATTATTATTATATCTGCATTGGCACGTGAGAGGAGGGGAGGGGAGAGGAAAGAGGGTCAAGGAAGGAGAGGAGAGGAGAGAGGAGAGAAGGGAGGAGAAGGGACAGGAGGGGAGAGGAGGGGAGGAAGAGAGACAGGGAGAAGAGGGAAGGGAAGGGAAGAGAGGGGAGAGGGGAAAGAGGGACAAAGCAGAAGAGGGGAGCGGAGGAGAGGAGAGGGCGAGGGGAGATGGAGACAGGAGAGAGAGAAGGGGAGGAAGAGATGGGAAGAGGGGAGGAGGGAAGAGAAGAGAAGAGAAGAGAAGAGAGGGGAGAGGGGAGAATAGGAGAGGAGAGGAGAAGAGGAAGAGAGATGGGGAGAGGAGAGGGGAAAGAGGGGCAAGGCAGGAGAGGGGAGGGGAGGAGAGGAGGGAGGGAAAGGGAGAGGAGGGGAGGGAAGGGGGAGAGGAAAGAAGGGCAAGGCAGGAGAAGGGAGGGGAGGAGAGAGGAGAGGGGAGGGAGGGAAAGGGAGGAGAGGAGGGAGGGAAGGGAAGAGGGGAGAGGAAAGAGGGACAAGGCAGGAGAGGGGAGGGGAGGAGAGGAGAGGGGGAGGGGAGAGAAGGGGAGGAAGAGAGGGGAGGGAGGGAGGGAGGAGAGGAGAGGAGAGGAGAGGAGAGGAGAGGAGAGGAGAGAAGAGAAGAGAAGAGAAGAGAAGAGAAGAGAAGAGAAGAGAAGAGAAGAGAAGAGACGAAGAGAAACATACATATTGCAGAAAAAAGAATACCAGAAACTAAGCTGGAATTCAACAACCATTCATAAGATTTTGTTCTTTAACTTAATGCCCTATTATTCATATGACCATTTTTGTCAGAAATATGGGAATTAAGTAACTTTGGCATTGAGCCTAGGATGCAAAGTCCCATGGCTATTTGCATGATATTGTATCATTTACTCTATAATTTCACCTCATCTCTGAACTGGACTGAACGGCTTCTCCCAAACTACAGGCGAGCTGAGGCCACCGAATCCAGGTATCCTACCTCGAGTAATAAAGGAGCAATGATCACCCTTAAAAAACCGAAGTCTTTTTCCTGGGCCATGAAAACGTCTTGAAACTTTGCACCACAAGGTTAATCACCGCAACTGAAAGATTAGCAGATGCCTAAGTTCTAGAGAGAAACAATGAGCCGTATTTTGGGGGACTGGCTCTCCAAAACAAATGAGCAAAATTAGTTATTTTGACATTTAATTTCCCACAGCATTCTAGAAATAAAGAGCAGCTATGAATAATGATATCCCTGCATGATGAAGTAAAAGCCTATATGTTCCTCACAATCCCAAGAAAAAAAGGAGACCCATAAATACATCATAGTCATTTCCAACCTTCTGACTTCTAGATATTGGGGGCTTCAGCTCTGAAATCCCAGCCTTTGTGGCCAGCTAAATTCGGACAGTTGGGGTGCTAAAACACTGAGTGGTAGAATACCATTTATAGCAGGGGCAATTAATTTTCCCAAGAGGCTGCATGAGAAACTATTGTGGAGGGCCAAACCAAATAGGATTGTGTAGGTGCCTAGGTCATGCACACACAAACGTAAATGATTTTTTTTTAAAAAAAAAAAGATAGCAGTTCCCTTCAAAATAAAAGAAATTCACACAGAGCAGACAGGGACAACCAAGGTCCAGGGGTGGCCCGGGGCCATAAAATGCCCAGGTCTGATCCATAAAGGTAAAGGTTTTCCCTATCCCAGGGGTACGCAACCTTGGCTCTTTTATGACTCGTGCACTTCAACTCCCAGAATTCCTGAGCCAGCGTGGCTCAGCTTGGAAACTCTCCCTTTCCCCTCAGCATGGCTGGCTCAGGAATTCTGGGAGTTGAACTCCACGAGTCATAAAAGAGCTGAGGTTGCCTACCTCTGGCCTAGGCCTAGGCCGCTTTCTGACTCGTGGACTTCAATTCCCAGAATTCCTGAGCCAGCATGGCTCAGCTTGGAAACCTCTTCCTTTCCCCTCAGCATGGCTGGCTCAGGAATTCTGGGAGTTGAAGTCCACGAGTCATAAAAGAGCTGAGGTTGTCTACCTCTGGCCTAGGCCTAGGCCGCTTTCTGACTCGTGGACTTCAATTCCCAGAATTCCTGAGCCAGCATGGCTCAGCTTGGAAACCTCTTCCTTTCCCCTCAGCATGGCTGGCTCAGGAATTCTGGGAGTTGAAGTCCACAAGTTATAAAAGACCCGAGGTTGCCTACCCCTGCCCTATCCAGTTGTGTCTGCCTCTAAGGGGCAGTGCCCATCTCCATTTCCTAGCCGAGGGAGCCAATAGTCCCCTAAGACACTTCCGTGGTCATGTGACCAACATGGCTATAGGCCGAAGCACACGGAATGCTGTTACCTTCCCACCAGAGTGGTACCTATTTATCTACTCGCGTTCGCCTGCTTTGGAACTGCTAGGCGGGCGGGAGCTGAAGCAAGTAACAGGAGTTCGCCCCATTGCATGGCACTCAGGACTTGAACCTGGGCCATCAGCTTTCCAGCTGACAAGCTCGGAGACTTTAACCACTGAGCATCGTGTTCCCATCTGATCTATAAGTATCATATTTATAACACCGGATTATTAAAACGTCTGAAATTTGGATTACATTGAAGGTACAAGCTTAAATCAAACCATTTTAGATGATGTAACAGAGGGTTTTTTTTTTCAAAAAATGTTCAGGTTTTTAAAAAAGTCAAGATGATGGTGGTAATGATGATTATATGGCAGTGGTTCTCAACCTTTTTAATGCCACGACCCCCAACCAGTTGTAAGTCAAGGACTACTCAACCGGTCGTAAGTCGAGGACTACTCAACTGGTGCAGCACCGTTTGCAGAATGGGACTTTTGGCGGGCTCAGCAGGGCAGAGACTGTCTGGACAATTCCTATTGGCTTTTGAAAGCCAATAGAATTAGACTCTATTCAAGAGAGTCTATTCTACTGGCTTTCAAAAGCCAATAGAATAAAAGGGAGTAGCACAGCTAAGGAAAAGGGGGGAAAAATGGTGGACTGTGTTGTTTGGCGACCCCCATGAAATGGTCGTTCGACCCCAAATGGGGTCCCGATCCACAGGTTGAGAACCACTGTTATATGGAGATGATGGAGGAGGAGGAGGAGGATTATTTCATGTTTAATGAAACCAGGGTCAATATAATACTACTTGGGTGATGTATCTCCCCTCTGGACTAAATTTTAACTTTCCCTACTTAGTATATTCTAAATAAGGACAACTGAGTTCAGTGACCTAAGATGTTTTTGGGCTAAATTTCTGAGCACAGCCTGTTGGTTTTATTCTTGTAAGGATACCCAAAAAACTGAAACAAATGCAAAAACTTTCACACACATTATTTTATATAACTCATCAGAGAAGATACTATGGCCAAAAATATAGATTGGCCCACATTTTGCTGGTTATTGTTGGATTCGAATGCCCGCTGTGAAATGCCCTGCATGAGAGGAAAAAACAATTTGTACCTGAACATTTGGAAATGTGTTATTCGTGTTATTCCAGTGCGTTATGTTGGCAATGAATAAAAACGTGTCCCATTTTGTATCGCTTAAAATAACGTGATAATGACTCATTAGCTTTCTCCTTTTAACCTGTCAATCCCCTCCTTCTGTTCTTTTCTCTTGCTTTAATTTTCAAGTTTCTGTATTATTTAGCTACAAGCAGGATAACATTTCGAGAATAAAATCCCGTTGACCTGCCTTCCAGTCAGTCAATCCAATTTAATGACAACTGCAACCTTCCTGATACATTTTTAACCACCTCCAGCTTAAATAAGTAATCGTGATAAATAAATGATACTTTGTTTTCAAACTGTTGTTTTAGCCTAAATAAGCGAAACAGGATCACTTAGGTTTCTCATTTCTAACATGGCTACTAAACTTGTTACTATCTTCTCTTACTGTATTAAGAATGGATGGCTTTTAGGAAATTATAATCCTATATTTAAGAAACGAATTTGTTCACTCTTAAATCATGGTGTTATTTTTTTTATCTTCTTCTACAGTCTTATCACTTTTAAACTCTTGTCTATTTTCCTCTTTGATTGGCTCATATCCTAATTCTGCAGCACTTAGGCTAGGAAGAAAATCTTTTGAAAAGTACAAATCTAATTTGTCTCTGAGAAAAGAAGCAAATTAGAGGTATGTTATCATTTCAGAGAAAAGTGTCATTTTCTTTTAAGGGATATAATGCTATTATTGTCCTCGTTGCAATTTCCATCTTACAAAAGTGATACAGTATTACTTTCTCGATTAAATTCATAAGGCTTTCATCATCTTTCCTATTGAAAAAAAGCTTTTTAGATGGAAAATGTACAGGTGTACTTAATCTTCAAATTGTATCAAATCTCTTGGTCCTGGAAAATTGTACAAGTTCAAGTATTTCTAATATGTTCTGCACCTTATGGGTCAAACATCTGTTCTGTCATTTTTTTTCTGATTTAGATTTTTGAGAACCAGCTCCCGATAATTATAATCTTGGAGGGGGAAAAAACAGACTTTCAAATCGGTTTTATCAAGCATCTGTTCCTGCCTATCTCTGAAAAAAGTGATATGACTCTTTTTTCATACAACCATTGTAGCTCCAACATGGTTACGTGATCAAAATTCGAATGCCTGCGTAGTTCTCAAGATCTCTAGTGGATTGTTCAGAACACTGTTAATTAAAGTTTTAATTCGTAATTCTTAAATTCTTCCAGGAATCACATAGCAGCTTACAGTATATTCTAACAAGATACTTTAAAAATATAATACGTGGAATGTGGGGTCTTCTTAAATCAGGTGTCTTCAAAAATTGGCCCTTTTATGACTTGTGGACTTCAACTCCCAGAATTCCTCAGCTAGGGCACGCTGGCTGAGGAATTCTGGGAGTTGAAGTCCACAAGTCATAAAAGGGCCAAGTTTGAAGATCCCTGTCTTAAACGCCTGAAAACCCAAATAAAACCTCATGAAAACCTGTGTTAACTCACAATAGGCAACGACAGTTGTAGCTGGGGATTTTTTTTATTATTGGTAATTTAACTGAATACTGCATTATAATAAATTCTAGGAGTATTTTGATTTATTCGTTGGATACGCTGAATTATGCTTTTGAAGTAAAGTTCCTTGAAGTGTAAAGAGCAGGAAACTAGTTTTCACTAGGAAGCACAGAAAATGACCATGTGCTGGGTGGCACCCTGTGCATTCTGAAAATGAATAAATAAAATCAGACTTCCTTCCTGATTTAATAGGGCAAGGATTTAGTTTAATCCTGCATGTTTCTTCAAAGCCAAAGACATGCAGACATTTGGAGAGGAAACCCTAGAAGTTCATCTTTCTTACGAGTCAGGTCATTTGAACTACGCAGCCTTAAATATGCTTAGTTCTGACTCTCTCCTCTCTCCAGGGATAGAAATTTTTGCAAGCTGTACCTCAAAACCTTCCAACAGTTGTAAACGTAGCTTTTTCTCAAAAGAGAAAAGTAGTGCTACCCTCTCCCATGTGTTGCAAGCTCCACCTTTTAGGCATGGCCATGCAACGAGACATCCGCACCAGCATCGCTAAAATGGGCGGTAGCACAACACAGTTTTTGTCATTCTTCCCTGCGGATACCGCTGCATTTCGGCACGGCCCAAGGCTAATTAAAGCAAAGCATTTCCTCAGCAATTCCCAGGCTGTAGCAGAGACGTGTTAGAGTAGACATGTCAAACACAAGGCCCGGGGGCCAGATGCGGCCCGCGAAGTGGTTTCATGTGGCCCACGAAGCCATCCTGGAAATAGTGAGGGAACAGCCCCCTCTGCCTTGGCCCTGGCCCAGGCTGGCCGGGAGCCAATGTAGAATTTTGTGGTGGCCATCTATGCTGAAACGCATTCAGTCTTAGCTCCATAAGCCCCCCCACCCCTGCATGGCCTGAGAGGAACAGTGAGGCTCCTCCAGTGGACCATGTCTTGGCACTTGCTCTGGTCCCACCCCCTTCTGCCAGAGACCCTCAGATCTATCCCACTCCTGCCCAGGTCCCCACAGACACCCTTGACGCGAATGATGTAGAGCTGACCACACCCACTCCATCCATGCCCACCCTGGCCACACTCACCCGCCCCCGAGGGCACCTGCAATGCTGATGTGGCCCTCAATGAAATTGAGTTTGACACCCCTGTGTTAGAGCCATGCACCCCAGCTCTATAAGCCTTCAGAATCCACAACTGATCAATGGATCAGTAGGATCTGCTAAGCTGCTCGTGGATTAGCTGAGAGGGGAGCTAGTTTTTCAGGATGTCTCTATGGGAAGGCCACATCCCATCGGCTTCTGCATTACCATTATCAGGGTTCGTTAACATCCTACTTGCACTGGAGACAGTCTTTCCAATGTCGGCCAACGAACGGAGATTCGATTTCTTGGTTTGATGACGATGCTTCCTGAGCAGCGTGTAGATGACTTTGTCCTTCATGTCTTGTTTCAGCAGCCCAGTGTCAATCTGGTTGTCAACAACCATTTCTGTGAGGGGAAGAGAGTTTAATGACAACATGCATATTACATTGTCACAAAATAACTATCTGGGCAATTTACGGCAGGGGTCCCCAACCTCCGATTCGTGGACCAGTATCGGGCTGTGTCATGCCAGCAACCGATCCGCACAAACAAGCAAAGCCCCGTCCGTGGGATGCAGGCAGCACACAAAACCACACATCTCCAGTCCATGGAAAACCTCTCTCCATGGAACCAGTCCCTGGTGCCCAAAAGGTTGGGGACTTTTGATTTACGGTGCAAACTAAGACCATTTCTTCACATATCAAAATTCAGCTGCCCCAAAATTGGAATTATCACCTTTGTAACCAGCCCAGTCACACTATCATGCGATATTATTCTTTCATATTTTAATATTTTATATATTAAATTTATATTAAGAAGAGATTGGACAGCCATTTGTCCGGAATGATATAGGGCAGACATGTCAAACTCGCGACATCACGTGACGTCACACCACGTATCGAAGCTTTTTCCCCATTGCCAGCAATGGGTGGGCGCAGTTACCTCGTGACACGTCCGGCCTGCGGGCCGGCAGTTTGACACCCCTGATATAGGGTCTCCATCTTGAGCAGGGGATTGGACTAGAAGACCTCTAAGGTCCCTTCCAACTGTGTTATTCTTTTATATTTTTCAACACATCACACCTCTTGCAAGTGCACTCAAGAGGCTCAACCGACTCAAACTAGGAATTTAATTTATTCTATGTAATTTATGTATTCATAACTTCTGTTGTACAGCTATTCATTATTCCCAGGGCAATTTACAATAGAAATAAAAGAACTTACATAAACATACAACACCAACTGTAATAAACTTCAGGTGATATAATTTCCCCCAAATCAGTCATAAGCATTAAAAAACAAAAACAAACCCCAGAATATCGTTGGGACATTTTATTCTACAGTTATAGTTGGTTGATTCTTCTTCTGCTTCAATATCTAGAAGCTGACATTACTAATTTAATATTACAGTTTCTCTTTCCTCAAGGTTATTTATATTCTACTGAGATTCCTCAAGGTTATTGAAATGTTTTCAGCATACAAAAACACTTAATTTCGTTTCTTTTGTTATGAGATTCCAACTTTTTCCCTACTTTCCCCTTTTATTAAAACCTCTAGGTTTTGATTTGACAAGTGGCAGTAAGTACAAAGGGATTAGAAACAATTACACCTTCTTATCTTTTAAAGAAAGGAATCACTTGTTTTCTTTAGCTGTGGAACTAATTGTAAACAATGGACATTAAACAAACAAGTACATGAGATGAAGCCCACTTATCTTTCTTGTTTAAGAGTGAGCTGTTTGGTTGTTTTTTTTAAAAAAAAAGGAGAACAAAACATGGCTTTTCTTGAATAGAGTTCAATTGCTTTTGCATAACTGTCCTGAATCTGGTAGGATTTCAATAAATCACTAAGAGTGCTAGAGAGCCTCAAACTCTGAGTTCAGCAGCTTTCAGTTCCCATAGGTCAGGGATGGCGAACCTTTACAAGACCGAGTGTCCCAAAACCGCCTCGCCCCTGCCCCATCCCTGCCTCTCATGCCCGCAGGGCCACCCACTGCCTCCACAGCCCACCACAGCAGATCATCCAGGTGGCCTAACAGCGTCATGGCAGCCACGCCCTCTGTCCACGCCCTGCAGCATCATTTGACCGCGATGGGGCACGAGGGCAGAGCCTTCTCCCTGCAGCCCGGTTGCCATGTCCTTGGCTGCGCTGCTCTGCACAGGCTGCTCCAGGGGCGACTCTCCTCTGGGGGGGGCTGCTGCTTGAGGAGGGGGCCACGGGGCTGGGGCGGCGGCGTGTGTGCCCAAAGAGAGGGCTCTGAGTGCCGCCTCTGGCACGCGTGAAATAGGTTCGCCACCACTGCCATAGGTGATTTCTGTTGATGGACCATTTAAGTCTATTGAACAATGAGGAGAGATTAGGAACCTAGCCTTTCATTCGCAAATCCGACATCATATTCATACAGCCATAGAATCACAGAGGGGGAAGGGACCTTGGAGGTCTTCTAGTCCAACCCCCTGTCCGTGGTAGGAATCCTCACATCATCTTGGACAAATCTTTTCTTGAAAACCTCCAGTGATGGAGCACCCGTAACTCTAGGACAGTGTTTCCCAAACTTGACAATTTTAAGGCATGTGGACTTCAACTCCCAGAATTCCACAGCCAGCAACGCTGGCTGTGGAATTCTGGGAGTTGAAGTCCTCATGCCTTAAAATTGTCAAGTTTGGGAAACACTGCTCTAGGAGGCAACCTGTTCCATTGATTAATCGCTCCCACTCTTAGGAAATTCCTCCTTCATTTCAGGATGAATCTCCCTCAGGTGCTATAGAGAATAAATCAACACCCTCTTCTCTGTGACAGCTCTTCAAGTACTGGAACAGATCTTTAGTCATTTAGAAGATTCTCAAGAATCTCTACGCCTTCTGATAGACACATTCATGAGTCCGAAAGCTCAGCAGATTAAACCTCTGGTCCCGGTGATCAACCCAGATTGGGTTCTCAAGAATCTTTAGAAGACCAACCATTCTTCTAAAATCTACGTCAAGGATGCTATGCACGGAATTCTCCTTCTCTGTTAAGACTTACCTACGACTTGTGGGAGTGTTGAGGCCTCCAGATCCAGCAGAATAGAACCTTTCTCTATACATGTTCTCAGTTCAAACAAACTGTGAAGCGACAACGTGGCAACATGGGGCTTACTCCATCTCTCTCCTCCTTGTTCCACTTTCTCTTCAAATTTTATCCACCTGCAACGAGCAAAAGAATGAATGAGGCTGAACTTATCTAAATGTGGATCTTGGCCTGCTGAAAATCTGGTAAAGTGAGACAAGCCGTGGTGGGATTCAGCCAGTTCCCACCACTTTGACAGAACCGGTAGCTAATTTTTTGTGGCCCAGTCCCAAAACGGGCTTCCGGAAGAGGTATCCACACAGAGAACCGGTTGTTCACCTCTTTGAATCCCACCACTGGAGACTAGGTTGATAGAACAAAAGCCAACCTATCACCGCAAGATTTAAGCCATTTTCACGCTTTCATTTTCCATTTATTTATTTAATCCTGCCTGTCTCATAGAATGAATCTGGGTGGCATACATAGTAATTTATTCAATAGCTGCCCGTCTCATAGAGTGAATCTGGGCGGCATACATAGTAATAATCCAAAGTATATAAAAGCCGTTGAAACAACAAATTTAAATTAAAATAAAATACAAGATAGAAGCAAGCAAATAAATTTCCTTAGCATTTGCAAAAAAAATAAGCCATTTTTTTTTCCTTAGCATTTGAAATGAAAGCAACATAAGAGTCTAAGACAGGGGTAGGCTACCGTGGCTCATGGACTTCAACCCCCAGAATTCCTGAGCCAGCCATGCTGAGGGGAAAGGGAGAGTTTCCAAGCTGAGCCATGCTGGCTCAGGAATTCTGAGAGTTGAAATCCACGAGTCATAAAAGAGCCAAGCTTGCCTACTTCTGGCCTAGGCCTAGGCCGCTTTATGACTCGAGGACTTCAACTCTCAGAATTCCTGAGCCAGCATGGCTCAGCTTGGAAACCTCTCCCTTTCCCCCCAGCATGGCTGCTCAGGAATTCTGGGAGTTGAAGTCCACGAGTCATAAAGCGGCCTAGGCCTAGGCCAGAGATAGGTAAACTTGGCTCTTTTATGACTCGTGGACTTCAACTCCCAGAATTCCTGAGCCAGCATGGGAAACTATGGCCCCTTTATGACTCGTGGACTTCAATTCCCAGAATTCCTGAGCCAGCATGGCTCAGCTTGGAAACTCTCCCTTTCCCCTCAGCATGGCTGGCTCAGGAATTCTGGGAGTTGAAGTCCACGAGTCATAAAAGAGCCAAGGTGGCCTACCTTTGGGCTAAGATAACTATATAGCTGCAGACTCTGTCCAAGTGTAAACTTTGCACAAAGCCTGTGATGAGGATTTCTTTAATTTTGGCTTACTAAATTCAGTGAATCCAGCTACTACAGTTTATAAACAGTTACCGTATGTACAAATTAGGTCAAAAGGACTTCTTCAATAACCTATTGATTTAGAAACCATGGGTTAATAATGCAATATGTCAGTCTCTCACAACCTTGGCAACTTTTAAGATGTGTGGACCTCAACTTCCAGGATTCCCCAGCCAGCATGGCTACTGCTAAGAACTCTGGGAATATTTTGGACGTTCAGCAAGCAGACTGCATTTGTGGCTGTTTGCAACATCCCATGAGCGCAATTTATGCCATTTTACTTCCAGTTTTCAGCAAAAGCACTCCATAGCAAACAATGGATTTGATTAACACCGTGGCTTTGGGTTAACGACTGCAGGTTCACTGTGGCGATTCGCTTAACAACTGCTGCAAAAAAATGTCATACAATCCGGCCGTTCACGCAATGACCCATTTTAAGACCTTCAGGACTTACAACCATTAAATCGAGGATTACCATATAAATACCACTTTACAATGCCTTGGTAAGGCCACCCTTGGAATCCTGCATCCAGTTTTGGTCACCACGATGTAAAAAAGATGTTGAGACTCTAGAAAGTGTGCAGAGAAGAGCAACAAAGATGATCAGGGGACTGGAGGCTAAAACATAGGAAGAACGGTTATAGGAATTGGGCATGTCTAGTTTAATGAAGGGAAGGACGAGGGGGGACATGAGAGCAGTGTTCCACTATCTCAGGGGCTGCCACAAAGAAGAGGGAGTCAAGCTATTTTCCAAAGCACCTGAGGGCAGGACAAGAAGCAACGGATGAAAACTAACCAAAGAGAGAAGCAACCTAGAACTAAGGAGAAACTTCCTGACAGTTAGAACAATTAACCAGTGGAACAACCTGCCTCCAGAAGCTGTGAATGCTCCAACACTGGAAGTTTTTATGAAGAGACTGGACAGTCATTTGTCTGAAATGGTATAAGGCTGTGGTGGCAAACCTATGGCATGCGTGCCACAGGTGGCACTCAGAGCCCTCTCTGTGGGCATGCGCACTGTCGCCCCAGTCCTAGGCCTTCAGCTGAGTTTTATAAAACCTTTTTGCTTTAGGCCTCCGCCGCTGTGTGCAAAAAAAAAAAAAAGGTTCAATCAATCAATCAATTTCAACTTCTCGCTGGAAAAAATAGATCTCACAAAGTTGGAATTGATTTATTGAACTTTTTAGTCCCACCCAGTTTGCCGTTACCACCACAGCCACGCCCACCCAATGGGCCACGCCCACCCAATGGGCCACGCCCACCTGGCACCGGACGATACATAAGTGGGTTTTGGATTGCGGTTTGGGCACTCGGTCGCTGAAAGGTTTGCCATCACTGGTATAGGGTTTCCTGCCTGAGCTGGGGGTTGGACTAGATGACCTCCATGGTCCCTTCCAACTTTATTATTATTAGTAGTAGTAGTATAGCAGAGAGGCTCTTGAAAGATTCTTCCTTCCATAGAAAAGCAGAGCATTTTAATGACTGTTTGATGTTACAATATTATTATTATTACTACTTTCATCATCATCATCATCACCATCATCATCATCCCCACCACCATCATCATCATCATCATCTGCTATCCAAAGCAGAAACAAGTAATATGGAATTGTGTCCCATTTGGGAAAATGCAGAATTAGAACATTCCAGACTCTTTCTTCCCCCCTTTAAGTTACAAAACAGTAGCAGATCTGGTTGTGTGGTTGCCCAACTCCTTTCTCCAAATCAACACAACTTTCATCAATCAAACCAGCGTAACAAAAGAAGTTCTCCAACTCTCCTTGCTGCTTAAATTGCTTAACCTTCAAGGAACAAAGCTGAACAACAGTTATTTGCCTTGTTGTTGAACAGCTCTTTGAAGCTACAGATGCGTCTAGTTACCAGCGCCAGGGAAAGCTGTGCAAACATTCTGCAACAGAACAAACCCACACATACCAGCGCAGCAGCTAAGCGCTAACCCTTTTTGCTGGCTATAATAGAACGAGATAAATCACATCTGTACAGCAGTTGGAGAAAATATCTGAGCAATATATCCCATTAGCTATTGCTAATTAATTAATTTTTTTAAGAATAAATTTTACTGATTTTCTACTTTTACATTTAAATATTTGAAAAGCAACGTGGCGGCTGAGTTGATCAATAATTCAATAACATACAAATATCTTTAGTACAGATCTCAAAGTATTACATTAAGTATTTCCTCTCCTCTCCCCTTTGTATTTACTGTCTCATATTTAAACTAATACAATTCTAACATTCCATCTTTTTAGACAATCAATGTCCTAATTAGTTTTTCCCAATTATTTAGTTTCCCATTAATATTTAAATTTTAATGTTTAATATTTGTAATTTCCAAGTTTTACATAGCCCCAATTCCCTTTATCACAATTCATCCCAAGTTCTAATGTTCAGGATACATGTCTTATCTATTTGAATTCTCACCACCTTAAATCAACTAGTTAATAATACAATATAACATTCGTATTTTCTAATAATTTCCGAATTTCTTAAATTTAGTAACTAAGATTTCTCTTATTTCAACATTTAATACTTCCCCTCTTTTTCTCTTAATATCTTGTTGTTGTTGTTGTTAATTGCGAAGTCGTTTCCGACCCATCGCGACCCCATGGACAACGTTCCTCCAGGTCTTCCCGTCCTCTACCATCTTCTCTTAATATCTGCTATCTCATATCTGAACTAATAGTTTTTATTATTACCGCTAACTAAAAACACATTTATTGCTAATTAATTAATTTTGTTTGCCACCCCGTCTCCCTGTAAGGCGACTCTTGTTGTTGTTAGTTGTGAAGTCGTGTCCGACCCATTGCGACCCCATGGACAATGTTCCTCCAGGCCTTCCTGTCCTCTACCATCTTCTGGAGTCCATTTAAGCTCATGCCTACTGCTTCAGTGACTCTACTTAACCAGAAGCAACCTAGAACTAAGGACAAACTTCCTGACGGTTAGAACAATTAACCAGTGGAACAACCTGCCTCCAGAAGCGGTGAATGCTCCAACACTGGAAGTTTTTAAGAAGAGATTGGATAGCTGTTTGTCTGAAATGGTGTAGGGTTTCCTGCCTGAGCAGGGGGTTGGACTCGATGACCTCCAAGGTCCCTTCCAACTTTATTATTATTATTATTAGTATACCAGAGAGGCTCTTGAAAGATTCTTCCTTCCACAGAAAAGCAAAGCATTTTAATGACTGTTTGATGTTACAATAACATTGAAAACGACCATTGGTCCTCGTGCTTATGACCATCGCAGAGTTCCCAAAGTCCCAAGGTTATCAAAATTCAGGCATTTGGAAACTGCCATGTATTTACGACAATCACAGCGTTTAGCGCTAACATTTGAAAGGCCCTGGACAGGTTGCTACGGTGAATGAAAACTGGTGTAACTCAACAGCAATGTTACAAATGAGGACAGGGAAATAGCCTCTTTGTGACCTGAGTCAATTTTACAAATACAAGTAGTCCTTGACCTACGACCACAACTGAGCCAAAATTTCTGTTGCTAAGTGAGACAGTTGTTACATGAGTTTTGCCCCAGTTTACGATCTTTCTTGCCACAGGTGTTAGGTGAATCACTGCACTGGTTAAAGCAGGGGGGGGAGGAGGAGGAGGAGGAGGGGGAGAAGAAGAAGAAGAAGAAGAAGAAGAAGAAGAAGAAGAAGAAGAAGAAGAAGAAGAAGAAGAAGAAGAAGAAGAAGAAGAAGAAGAAGAAGAAGAAGAAGAAGAAGAAGAAGAAGAAGAAGAAGAAGAAGAAGAAGAAGAAGAAGAAGAAGAAGAAGAAGAAGAAGAAAGGGACCTTGGAGTTCATCTAGTTCAGTGGTTCTCAACCTTTTTAATGCCGTGACCCCCAACCAGTCGTAAGTTGAGGTCTACTCAACCGGTCGTAAGTCGAGGACTACTCAACTGGTGCAGCACCGTTTGCAGAATGGGACTTTTGGCGGGCTCAGCAGGGCAGAGACAGCCTGGACAATTCCTATTGGCTTTTGAAAGCCAATAGAATTAGACTCTATTCAAGAGAGTCTATTCTATTGGCTTTCAAATCCAATAGAATAAAAGGGAGTAGCGCAGCTAAGGAAAAGGGGGAAAAAATGGCGGACTGCGTTGTTTGGCGACCCCCGTGAAATGATCGTTCGACCCCAAATGGGGTCCCGACCCACAGGTTGAGAACCACTGATCTAGTTCAACCTCCTGCTCAGGCAGGAAACCCTATACCAGTGGTTCTCAACTTTTCTAATGCTGCGACCCCATAATACAGTTCCCCATGTTGTGGTGACCCCCAACCACTTATATATCACCGGGTGCCAGGGGCGTGGTCAAAGAAAAGGGGGGAAAAATGGCGGACAGCCTTGTTTGGCAACCCCCGTGAAATGGTCGTTCGACCCCAAATGGGGTCCCGACCCACAGGTTGAGAACCACTGCCCTATACCATTTCAGACAAATGGCTATCCAGTCTCTTCTTTAAAACGTCCAGCTTCTGGAGGCAGGTTGTTCCACTGATTAATTAAGTGATCACATGACTCTGAAGACACTGCAACCGTCATAAATATGAGTCAGTTGGCAAGCAGCTCAGTTTTCCATCACATGACCACAGGGAGGCTGCAATAGCTGTAAATGTGAAAATCGGTCATGTCACTTTTTTCAGGGCTGCGGTAACTTTGAACAGTCACTAAATGAACTGTTGTAAGTCAAGGACTCCCTGTCCATCAGTCCACATCTTGACATTTACTGCGAAAGAGATCAGTTCAGACTGCCAGTATTTGCTTCGGGAAATAATAACAGAGGCAGTTGCCTTAAGGAGCAGAAATATTAGAAATATTAAAAATGTACACAGAGGGAAGTTATCTACCATTAACTGAAATTCAATAATAATAAAAAAACGTCTTGAGGCAAAATGAAGGAAGGTGAGTTAGGGGAGCTTAGAAAAAACAAGAGAAAACCGAAAAGCTAATATTTAAAAGCATTGATGTCACGGATCCTGGACAACCCCTGAGTCAGCGCTTCGAACAGCACTGGGTTGCCTGACCCAGTAATTTTCCCCAACGTGAAAAATAAAAAGAGTTCAGACTTGGCAGAAAGATAAGTTATTATAACGTCACAGTAAAGTCTCAACTAAGCAAAGCAAGGTCCGGGGAATCATAAAGCTGATTACATTAATGGCATCTTCATTAAATATTGCTTAACAGGGTCATTTCTCTGGAACAATTTATCTCTAGGCATCTCTTCCAGAGAGACTATAAATTAGTTGGAACTGACTAAGAAACCGAATGCTTGTTTTCGTCTTTGTCTGAATTAAACCAACGCTCTTAAAACACTTCAATTGAAGAACGGTTGCAGGAATTGGGTATGGCTAGTCTATCGAAAGATTGAGGGCAATAGAAGAAGGGGACGACAGAGAATGAGGTGGCTGGATGGAGTCACTGAAGCAGTTGTTGTTGTTGTTAGTTGCGAAGTCGTGTCCGACCCATCGTGACCCCATGGACAACGTTCCTCCAGGCCTTCCTGTCCTCTACCATCTCCTGGAGTCCATTTAAGCTCACGCCTACTGCTTCAGTGGCTCCATCCAGCCACCTCATTCTCTGTCGTCCCCTTCTATTGCCCTCGATCTTTCCCCGCATTAGGCTCTTCTCCAGTGAGTCCTTCCTTCTCATTAGGTGGCCAAAGGACTTGAGTTTCAACTTCAGGATCTGGCCTTCTAAAGAGCAGTCGGGGTTGATCTCCTCTAGGACTGACCGGTTGGATCGCCTTGCAGTCCAGGGGACTCGCAGGAGTCTTCTCCAGCACCATAGTTCAACTGAAGCAGTAGGCGTGAGCTTAAATGGACTCCAGAAGATGGTAGAGGCCTGAAGGAACGTTGTCCATGGGGTTGCGATGGGTCGGACAGGACTTCGCAACTAACAACAACAACAACAACAAGTCTATCAAAGAGAAGGACCAGGGGAGACATGATAGCAGTCTTCCAATATTTGAGGGGCTGCCACAGAGAGGAGGGGGTCCACCTATTTTCCAAAGCACCTGAAGGCCAGACAAGAAATAACAGATGGAAAGGAGAGATTCAACCTGGAAATAAGGGGAAGTTTCCTGACAGTGAGAACAATCAACCAAGGGAACAAACTGCCTTCAGATGTTGTGGGAACTTCATCACTGGAAGCTTTCAAGAAGAGACTGGACAGAAAAATTGAAAAAAAAAAGAAGAAGAAGAAGAAGAGGAGACTGGACAACCATCTGTCCGAAATGGCGTAAGGAAGCTTTTGGTTACCCAAATACAACTTACTTTGACAAGAGAGACATTTTGAACGTTGATGGGAAATTAAAATTTAAAAAAGGCAAAAAGCAAAAACAGGATACTGATTGAACATAGGGATATTAAGTGCAAGTGCAATTAAGATATCTTTTGATTAGAAACGATTTTAAACTGACTTTATTGATATGGAAACTCATCAGGGAGAGAAGCAACCTAGAACTAAGGAGAAACTTCCTGACAGTGAGAACAATTAACCAGGGGAACAACCTGCCTCCAGAAGCGGTGAATATTCTGCCACTGGAAATTTTTAAGAAGAGACTGGACAGCCGTTTGTCTGAAATGGTATAGGGTTTCCTGCCTGAGCAGGGGGTTGGACTAGATGACCTCCAAGGTCCCTTCCAACTTTATTTATTTATTTATTTATTGTTGTTATTTTAAAAAATGTAACAAAGATGTTGATATTCAATTATATATCTATTAATAACAATAAGAGTTGTATTTGCCTAGTCCTGGAAAACAGGTACCAATGGAAGAAGAGAGGAAACATTGTAATATTGGATCTAGACTGAAGAAGTTAATATATACCAACTGAATTACTAATGGGCCCAGACCACACATTGTTTGTTAAGTATTTGATTGTAAAACTAGAAAATTAATAAAACATTTGTATAAAAAAAGAAATGGTGGTGTGTAGGGTCTCCTGCTTGGGTTGGTGTTTGGACTAGATGGCCTACAACAGGGGTCTTCAAACTCAGCCCTTTTATGACTTGCGGACTTCAACTCCCAGAATTCCTCAGCCAGCCCAGGATTCTAGGTCAAATCCCTGGGTCAGGGGTAGGCAACTTTGGCTTTTTTATGACTTGTGGACTTTAACTCCCAGAATTCCTCAGCCAGCGTGTCTGGCTGAAGAATTCTGGGAGCTGAAGTCCACAAGTCATAAAAGGGCCAAGTTTGAAGACCCCTGTCTTAAATCTAACATACAAAATGGAGGCTGGCTGAGGAATTCTGGGAGTTGAAGTCCACAAGTTGTAAAAGGGCCAAGTTTGAAGACCCCTGGCCTGATAAGGTCCCTTCCAACTCTGTCATTCTAATTCTAATTAGCCCCATTTAATCTTTAAGAATATAAATAGTGTCCTGTTGCATAGAAACCGTGGCCCATCTAGTTCAATACAAATAGCCCACAACCTAAGACCACAATTAAGATCAGAATTTCCACTGCAAAGCAAATTGTTTTTTAAGTGAGTCGTGCCCGATTTTACAATCATTTTGGTCACGGCTGTTAAGCAAATCACTGCAGTTGTTCAGTGAAACATGCGGCCGTTAAGCAAATCCGGCATCCCCATTGACTTTGCCTGACAGAAGCCATCTAAGAAAGTCACAACTGGTGACCACAAAGCCCTGGGATGCTGTAACTATCATTAAGTACAAGTTGGTTGCGTGACTGCAGAGACACTGCAATGGTCATAGTGTGAGGACTGGCTGTATGTCACTTTGTTCAGTGCAATCGTAATGTCAAGCAGGCAGTACATCAGGGGTCTTCCAACTTGGCAACTTTTAAGACTTGTGGACTTCAACTCCCAGAATTCCTCAGCCAGCCCTGCCAAGTTGGAAGACCCCTGCACTAAATGAAGAGACCCTACCTCCGATCAAAGCGGAGAATCGATGATCTCCAGAACTTCCCTAAACAAACTATTATGATGTAAAACAGAAAAACCCAGCTCATGCTTTATAAGTGTTCTTTAAATGGACAACATATTCTACACAGACAGATTAGTTTACACATTATGCTATCCCATGGTTTACCATACAAACCATGATGGGACTGAGCCTGAAAGTCAGGATTTTACAAACCCACAATGACAGGGATCATGCAACAAACGTCTCAGCCAAAATAATTAATTATGGTTTAATGCATTCTATAAACCAGCTTGCATCTGAGTAGTCCTTAGCACAACCCGGTGCAGTTGGCTACTTCTATTATCCCCCTATTAGAGAATGGGAGTTGAGGAAGAAAGAGAACTTACCTCTAGTAAGATGCTAGCTGAGGAAAGATGTGAACGAGGGAATGCTTAATTCAGCATATATAGGTAGCTTCTATCTATCATTTAATTTCTAAAAAGTTGATATTCACTTTTCCACTATTTCAACTGTTGAAAGCCACCAGAAATGGGTAATATGAAACATGATTTTAATATACCTTTTATCTACTCACTGGAATAAAGCCCATTCCAATTCAGCTTTATAAAGAGGTGTTTAAAATAAAGGGGTAAAATAAATTCTTGCTGCTCAGAAATGCCTTCCTGAACATTGGACCATCACTATCTCCACGGAGTTGAACCCCTTATTTTAAGAAACGTTGGCTCCCACAAATTAACGTGCAAGATTGGTCCGGATTTTTTGGCACAGGACTTACATCTCCTTTTCAAGGATAAAAAAAATCAACCCCCCCCCAATCAGCCCATCAAATGGGGCTCACCTGGCTGTTTCTTTCCATTCCATCTCTTGTCCATCCACAGGCAGAAGTTCATCCAGTTCTGTGAAGAGCTGAGGGGGTGCAGGGCTGTCGTCATCTTCCCCCAAAATGAAACGGATGCGCTCCGCGGCCGGAGAGACTGCAGAGGTGAAAATACTGCGGTTAACGGACTGAAGGATAACCAAGGAATTGCGCTTCCTCGCCTTCCCCTTCTCTCCATAGCCATTGGGTTGCTTCTGCTGGTGATGGTCTCCTCCATCTGACATGTTCGTTTTGGAATGTGGGCTGTTCTTCCTCTTCTTCTTGTCCTTAAACTTCCTAAGGTACCTACGTCTAGATTCCTCCCTTCTTACACTTAAAACTTAAAGCTTGGAGTAAAGTTCAAGAGGACAAGGGACTTTTCCCCCCCCCCCACACTCATTTAAGATGGGTGTTAGCAGCAAAGCCACACAGCTCCTCGGCCGAAGAAAAACCAGGACAGAACTTCTAGGCTCAACACCAATTTGTTCTCTGGTAGATGCCCAGAGAATGTTCATATTCTGATCAGCTGAAGTCCTTTCAAGACTTTTTCTTTATAGGCAAGAACCGGTTCGAGCCAAACTATCGGGGGGGGGGGCACCTTATGCAGAGGAAGTGGCATCCCATTGCCAATTTCCCCTCCCTTTGTGCAAAATGGGAACTTTCATTGGCTTGCGAGGCAGCGTGTTACCCCTCTAAGACTCATTACCAATGTAAAAGGGAATATTTAACAAAATAGACTCTTGCCTACTTTTACACAGAAGGCTGTGTGTTTGGTCCATTTAGTTATCCAACACGCCGGGAGAAAAGAAAGAAAGAGAGAGAGAGAGAGAGAGAGAGAGAGAGAGGGAGGGAGGGAGGGAGGGAGGGAGGGAGGGAGGGAGGGAGGGAGGAAGGAAGATTGTATGGGAAGGAAGGACAGAAAGGAAGGAAGGAAGGAAGGAAGGAAGGAAGGAAGGAAGGAAGGACGGATAGGAAGGAAGGAAGGAAGGAAGGAAGGAAAGGGAAGGAGGAAGAAAGGAAGGAAGGAAGGAAGGACAGGAAGGAAGGAAGGAAGGAAGGAAGGAAGGAAGGACAGGAAGGAAGGAAGGGAAGGGAGGAAGGAAGGAAGGAAGAACAGACAGGAAGAAAGGAAAGAAGGAAGGAAGGAAGGATATACAGGAAGGAAAAAAGGAAGGAAGATTGTATGGGAAGGAAGGAAGGGCACAAGGCAATTATAGGGTATCAAATTATGTTTATATTATGTTTACATAAATAAAGGAAATATTAATTGTGACCATATGTTCTCAGATAAGTAGTAGTTCATCGGTCTCCTTTTAATCTAAAAAAAAAGAGGAAGTAAAATTTGGAGGATAAATCACAAATTGCTCTGTGCACTCTCTGTATGCTCTCAAACAAGGCAACAGAAGTAGTAACAGGGACAGATCTATATGATCCAGAGTAAAAGATTTGGGAAGCATCTCAACCTGAGCTTCATGATCTAGGTGTCATCAGACAATGGTTTCTTCTCCCTAGACCTATTAATCCAAAAGATTATAAATGTCTAGAGAGTTTGACACGGAAGACTCTTGCTGTTCTTCCAGATTTTGTGGCCTGTATTTGAAAGGAGGGAAGTAGAATTCCACCAGAAAACCAGGAACTCACCTAAAACTATTTTGAAGGTCTGATCTATAGGATGCGTTGTCTTACTTTCTACACCTCATTACATTCTGCGGATTGGTAATCTTGAGAACAAGAGGTGATCCCTTAGCATGTGAGAAATGAAGAAATTAAGCGGAAGGGACAACAATACTTCTGTATTATCATTATATAAATTTATAAATGCAAATCATAAAATATTTGCATGCATCAGAACCAACAGACAATTAGAAAGATGGAGGAGAGAGAGAGGAGAGGAGAGGAGGAGGTAGAAGGAAGGGGGAAGTGAAGAGATGAGAGGGGGATGCGGTCTGGGGGGAAATGGGTGAGCAATGTCGGAATCTGTGTGTTGTATTTTAACTTCTTATGTATCTGAATTTTTTTTCTTATGATTGTAATGAAAATAAAATAATAAAAATTGAAAAAAAAAAAGAACCAACAGACAATTAGGATCTAATGGGGCTAGAAACTGGAGTCCCCTTTGGTGTGTCTAATAAGTATAAAGAGCCAGTTTGGTCTAGTCCAGGGGTAGGCAACCTTGGCTCTTTTATGACTCGTGGACTTCAACTCCCAGAATTCCTGAGCCAGCTTGGAAACCTCTCCCTTTCCCCTCAGCATGGCTGGCTCAGGAATTCTGGGAGTTGAAGTCCACGAGTCATAAAAGAGCCAAGGTTGCCTACCTCTGGCCTAGGCCGCTTTATGACTTGTGGACTTCAACTCCCAGAATTCCTGAGCCAGCATGGCTCAGCTTGGAAACCTCTCCCTTTCCCCTCAGCATGGCTGGCTCAGGAATTCTGGGAGTTGAAGTCCACGAGTCATAAAAAGGCCAAGGTTGCCTACCTCTGGCCTAGGCCGCTTTATGACTCGTGGACTTCAACTCCCAGAATTCCTGAGCCAGCATGGCTCAGCTTGGAAACCTCTCCCTTTCCCCTCAGCATGGCTGGCTGAGGAATTCTGGGAGTTGAAGTCCACGAGTCATAAAAGAGCCGAGATTGCCTACCTCTGGCCTATATCAGGGGTCCTCAACCTTGGCAACTTTAGACTCGTGGACTTCAACTCCCAGAATTCCTGAGCCAGCCATGCTGAGGGGAAAGGGAGAGGTTTCCAAGCTGAGCCATGCTGGCTCAGGAATTCTGGGAGTTGAAGTCCACGAGTCATAAAAGAGCTAAGGTTGCCTACCCCACAAGGTGACAGAGTGAAGACCACGAGTTCAAGTCCCACCTTAGCCATGAAAGCCAGCTGCTGACTTTAGGCCAATCACAAGGAGACTGTGAGTTCTAGTCCTGCCTCAGACATGAAAGCCAGCTGGGTGACGTTGAGCCAGTCCCTTTCTCTCAGCCCAACTCATCTCACAGTGCTGTCGTTGTGAGGAAAATAAAAGGAAGAAGGCGTGTTTGGTACCCCTGAGTTATTTGTAAAAGTAATGTGGGATGCAGATAAATAAATAAATAAAGCTGCCGAGGCAACTCTCTTCAATATGGGAATGCAGATGTCCAATAGGAGCCAGAATGGCATCAAAATACCACGTGCATCATAACATCATCAAATTACACAAATGTGTAATTCACGTCATTTGTGTGGTGACATCAGATGTCATTTATCATCCTTGCTCCTCCTCCCACAGACATCTATCAGTATGTAACTGAAGTGATTCTACTCATTTAAAAGTTGGACTGAACACTCTGCAATGGGAAATGTTTTAAGTACAGACTGGAATTTTAGGCAAAGTGCAGCTATTCGGAGTCCAGTCTGATCTGTTCTTCTACTCCAGAAATTACTTTCCAATTCAGTGCAAATGTCTATTCTGCAGTCACCTATAGATCTATTTTTGGCAAATGTCCCCTCAAGAGTTTCCAGTAACCAATGAAGTGTATTTCTCACATTTTAATGGTCCACCTCTTATTCTTAAACTGCAATCCAGAGAGAATAACAACATGCAGAAAGTAAGCTAATGTAGGTTGCTTTAATATTTTACTTACTATATACTTACTATTACTATTTTTTATTAGAAGAGGAAAAACTCTATGGCTAAGTTAATCATTTTCACTACTTGCTCCATCTATAAATTAGTATTACAAATATCTAATCCTGCCAGTTAAAGTCTTCCCTTGCTGATTAATCAGCTGAAAAGACTAAAAAACGTACACTATGGTTTAAAAAAAAGACTCTGACAGAAAGATCTTGTGATCTCTGCAAGGAACATCCTTAAATAATTGAAAGTGATAGAACAATATTTCCCACACTATATACAGAGGGATGAATGGATGGATGGAGGGAGGGAGGGAGGGAGGGAGGGAGGGAAGGAGGGAGGAATCTACTCCAGTTAAGGTTACTCAATAAAACCTTTTACAAGAGAGAAAGAAGTCAGTTCATTGACTCCAAATTAATTCATTCAACTAGTTGAGATTTGGCAAAACATTCCACCAACCTTGGCCCTAACTACTCTATTTCTTTGAGATTGAGCCTGATTTTTTTTTCTCATTTCCTAGGTCCCAATCCCAGATGCTTTAACTTCTCAAGAAATGGCCAGTGATTTCTTAGAAATTAATTGGTAAGGGAAACCTGTATCAGAGGGAAGAACTTCCATAGGAGATGCAACATCTCCAGTAACCCGCTCCAAGAAAGAAATCCTTACTTGAAGATAGATTATTAACTTGGAGAAACCCTCTTAATCCATTGTCAATCTTTCAGAAGAGGGAACAGCGAGTACCCACATCCCTTAGGCTTCCCCAATTATTTCACAGCCCCTCTTGAGAACTATGAAAGCATCGCTGACCAAGGTGCTGATTCTGACTTCCATTGGATGTTCCACTACATCAGTGTTTCCCAAACTTGACAATTTTAAGGCATGAGGACTTCAACTCCCAGAATTCCACAGCTTATAACCTGTGACGATACTTTTCATATTATTTTAAAAAAACAACATCTGACTATCTTTGGTCCTTGGGAAGGACTTGATAGGTGGACAAAAATACCAAATCCAGCCTAAACATCTGGCTGACTGTGCCACTAACCATAATATCATCTTAGCTAAATAAAGCAAGGCATTCTGCACTAGGCATCCAGATGCATAGACTGTAACTCTCATTATAATAATAATAGTAGTAAAGTTGGAAGGGACCTTGGAGGTCATCTAGTCCAACCCCCTGCTCGGGCAGGAAACCCTACACCATTTCGGACAAATGGCTGTCCAGTCTCTTCTTAAAAACTTCCAGTGTTGGAGCATTTACTGCTTCTGGAGGCAGGCTGTTCCACTGATTAATTGTTCTCACTGTCAGGAAGTTTCTCCTTAGTTCTAGGTTGCTTCTCTCCTTGATTAGTTTCCACCCGTTGCTTCTTGTCCTGCCTTCAGGTGCTTTGGAAAATAGCTTGATTCCCTCTTCTTTATGGCAGCCCCTGAGATATTGGAATACTGCTATCATGTCCCCCCTTGTCCTTCTCTTCGTTAAACTAGACATACCCAATTCTAGCAACCGTTCCTTA